TATATATATATTTTTTTTTTTTTTTTAAAGTAGAGTTTTATTAGTTTTTGATGAAGTTGAACAATGAATTTAAATGATTTTCAAGGACAGAATTCTAAGGTTTTTCTTCTTTAATATTGTCAAGTACTATCTAATCTACTTTATCAAACATCCCATAATTGTGCTAGACTAACTTTTTGACAAGTTAGTGCTTCCATCTCCTTCTCTCTCCCTCGCCCTGATTGTAGGCTCACTTTTGACTTTCATGTATAGATTTATCATTAACTTTTTCTTTGCAACTGATTTTCAGCCTTTCTTTTTTTCCTATTGATATGGCAGATTTTGCACTTGCAAGTTCAGCTACTTCTTCCCAAGCGATGCACAGATAACAAGGTCAAAGATGATCTAGGTGCATTCTCAATTTAAATATTTATTTATCATTTTATTTTTCAGTTGTTGCTATGCAATAAGAGAGTAACTGAATCCTTTTGTAATGATTAAAACATTCTTTAACAGACTTCTAATAGAAAAAATGTTATATGAATATCTCTTATCATCAAAGCAGAAGTTTTCTAGAGTTCGAACTTGCGTTTTATGCAAATTCTTCCATGAAAATCTACTACTTGTTCAATCATTATACCTTTATTGGCATTTCACGGCATGTTCTATCAAAGAATCTGGAACATTCCTTACCATCTAGATTACCCGTTGGGATCACATTTATGATTGCTTGTCCCAACATTGCATAGATTTATAAATACTTGCTTAAGCATCCCAACTTTGCTTTTTAATTGTGTTCTCTGGATTGCTGAATTTGTTAGGTTACATAGTCCAAGTGATAAGTAGAGTGTTGGGGAAACCTACCTTGGGGAAGTAATCTTACATTCCAGTTAAAATTCAAGAGTGATGATAGACGATGAGGTAATTTGACTATTAGGGATTGTGAGATAAATCAACCAGTAAGGTTCGTCGAGGAAGCATTAGAGGAAGACCCCGAAGAGGACCCAGAGAAGGATCCCGAAGAGGATTCGGAAGAAGATTGAGGGAATGTAGAAGGCTTATAGATAGGTAAATAAAATAAATAAATAAGAATAATATAAATTGTTTTTCTTTGTAGTTTCAATTAAGTTCAAGTCACATGCAAACTTTCTTAAGTTAAGTTTGGGGTTTTAGGTTGTAAATGGATTTATGCACTTTTCTTTTAAAACTTTTTTAAAACGTTGTTCTTAAATTGGTGATGTGCATGTCTAATGGATAGCGCAACCAAATTAGAATGATTTGATAAGAGATTTGTTGCAAGCGATGTAAGAGCTTGGAAGGCAAGCCTCGCAAGTGAACTATGTAGCTACTTCGACTCAAGCTTCAGTTGTGAAAACTTTTAGAAGGTATAAACCACCTTCTTTCTATGTTGAGGGTGATCCATTTGTTGTTGAGGAATGGCTGTGAAGGTTGGGACGGATTTTTCGACTTATAGATGTTAATGATGCACAGAAAGTATAGTGTGCAAAGTTTATGTTCATGGGAGCAGTATGTCATTGGTGGGAGTCAATATCCCAAGCTAGGACCAATGCTTAGTAGGAGGCTTTGACTTAAAATCAATTCAAAGAAGTTATTGAGAAATTCTTTCCCCAAGCATTAAGGGACTTCAAGAAAACATAATTCTTATAGTTAAAGTCAGGAAGCTTGACTTTGATTGATTATGAGAGAAAGTTCGACCAGATAAGTATGTATGCTCCACATTTGGTTCTGAAGCTAGAAAACTAAAGAGATTTCAACAAGGGCTTCATCGGGACATAGGAAGAATTCTTATGTCTCACCGTTTTACTACCTATAGTGAAATGTTGGAATGAGCTCGTGTTATCTGTTATCAAAGGGCTAGTACTGAAATGTGTGGAATAAAAACAAGTACAGACCATCATGGTCAAGGCAGCTAACAAGTAAGTTTGTGGCTAGTAGAAGGAAGTGGAATAACCAGGATAAGGGAAAGGGAAAATGGCAGAATAAGAAAATAAACAGTGGAGATGATGCCTACAAGGATGGGTACATATCTTATTACACCCTGTCCTAAGTGTGGTAAACAACACAAATGAGAGTGTCTAATAGGGAAAAAATATTTGTTTTCAGTGTAGTAAGTCAGGCCACATTGCTCGAAATCGTATAGAGCTTGTTCGCAAGAAGAATGAGGAACAGGATAAAAATAACAAAGGGAAATCTCGAGTCTTTGCCATAATTGAGCAAAAGGCAGAGAAGAACCCCAACATTGTAACAGTTTTTTTTTTTTTTTTTTTTGATAGCTAATTTTCCTTCTTATACGTTATTTGACTCGGGGCAACACATTCTTTTGTTTCATCGTCTTTCTAGCTAAATCTAGTATTGCATATGATAAGTCTGATAGTATACTAGAAATTAGCACTACTTCAGGTAGGATATTAAACATTGATAAGATAGCTAAGTCGATTCAAATAAAACTTGAAGGAAGAGCATTTGAGGAAAATCTATTCATAATAGATATGAAAGATTTTGACATAATTTTAGGCATTGATTGGTTGGTTTGTAATAACGCCACCATCTAATGTCGAGGGAAGGAAGTATCTTTTAAAAATCTAGGAAAAGAAGAATTAGTTTTCTTTGGATTAAAGACTAAACCTAAACCACGAGTAATCTCAGCATTATAGCTAAAAAAAATATTAGAGAAAGAAACATGTGAGGTGTTTCTAGTAAATGTTTTAGGACACAGCATCAAGAATATAAGATGAGGGAAGTACCGATAGTGCAGGAATTTGAAGATGTATTTCTAGAAAATCTTCCTAGTGCACCACTAGATAGGCAAATCGAGTTTGTGATAGACTTAGCTCCTGAGCAGCACCAGTATCTAAAGTACCTTATTGAATGGCATCAAAAGAATTAGAAGAATTAAAAGTCCAAAGTCAAGAATTATTAGAAATGGGTTTATTCAACTCGATATCTCTCTATAGGGAGTATCGGTGTTGTTTGTTAAGCAAAAGGACAATACCATGAGAATGTGCATAGACTACCGTGAAATGAATAAGAACGAGTTTCCTCTGTTGAGAATAGAGGATTTGTTTGACTAGCCAAGGAGAGCGAAAATGTTTTCTAAGTTTGATTTACAATCAGGATATCATCAATTAAAGATTAAGTCAAGTGCAACATCAAAGTTAACTTTTCAGGCTCGATATGGCCACTTCGAATTTATTGTGATGCCTTTTGGTATAGCCAACGCTCTTGTGGTGTTAATGGATTTGATGTATAGGGTGTTTCATAAATTTCTGGATTGATTTGTCATAGTCTTTATTGAAGATATTTTAATATACTCACAAGACAGATCAACACAAAGAACATTTTAGAATGGTGTTTAAAAACTCTAAGAGAGGAAAAGTTATATGCCAAGTCCAAGAAGTGTGAATTTTGGCTCGACCGAATAGGGTTTTTTGGTCAAATAGTTACTGGTCATGGGATTGAAGTTGGCTCAGCTAAAGTAGAGGTAGTAACTAAGTGGAATATATCAGCTAATATAGGCGGCTATTATCGAAGATTCCTTGAAGACTTCTTTAAGATAGTTGGACCAATGACTCAGTTAACTAGAAAGTGAGTAAAATTTCATTGGTTGGATAAGTGTGTACAGAGCTTCTAAGAGTTGAAACATCGATTGGTTAAGGCACGACTGTTAACAATTCCAGAAGGATCGAATGGTTTTGTGATCTATAGCAATGTATATAAGCAAGGGTTATGGTGTGTCCTAATGCAGTATGGAAATGTGGTAGCTTTTGCTTGAAGATTAGAACAACATGAACAAAATTACCAGACTCATGCCATTGAACTTGTGATAGTGGTTCGCACATTGAAATTATGGTAGCACTATCTATATGGAAGCAAGTGTGAGATTTATTCAAATCATAAGAGTTTCATATATTTCTTCACCTAGAAGGAATTGAATATGAGACAATGAGATAGTTGGAGCTGGTAAAGGACCACATCCTAGTAAAGCTAATGTGTTTGCACTTATACAGGAGGTCAGGAGGTCGGTTGGCATTTTTGCTGTCAGATGAATTTTTCTGGAGGAACATGAACAGAAGTGTTGGAGTTTTTGTCAGTAAATACATGGTTTATCAACAAGTGAAACTGAAACATTAAAGACCTTCAGTTTTCTTGAATCCTTTGAAAATACTAGAATGGAAATGGAACATATTTCGATGGATTTTGTAGTTGATTTTTCGAAGTCGATAAAGGGAAATAATGCCATTTGGATAATTGTTGATCGATTAACGAAGACATTTCACTTTATGCCAGTGAAAATGACGTTTATTGTGGATCAATTAGCACAACAATACATTAAAGATATAGTCAAATTGCATGGAGTTTTAGTATCCATTGTTTCAGATAGAGACTCGAGGTTAACCACTAAATTCTGGAAAAGCTTACATGAAGTATTAGGAAAGAAATTAAATTTTAGTATAGCTTACCATCCTCAATTAGATGGTCAATCCAAAAGAACTATTCAGAAATTGGAAGATATGTTGCGTGCTTTTGTATAAGACTTTTGAGGAAGTTGGGAGCTGTACTTGCCTTTGGTAGAATTTGCCTACAACAATTTTGAGTCTACCATTGGTATGACACCATACGAGGCACTCTATGAAAGAAAATGTAGATCAGCGATTCATTAGGATGAAGTTGGAAAAAAAGAATTTTAGGTCCAGAAATCATCGATGGAACAATTTTGAGTCATTAAGATCAAAAATCCCAAAAAACAGTTCAATATCGACAAAAGAGTTATGCAGATAATCGAAGAAAAGAACTGAATTTTGAAGTTGTGAAAATGTCTTCTTGAAAGTGATACCAATGAAAGGTATACTAAGATTTTGTAAGAAAGGCAAGTCGAGACCACATTATATAGTGTAATGCCCCAATTTTCTATAAACTCTGGAATGTTACGAAAAACTCATTTTTCTTTATTTTAAGTGCGGACCTTTAAAAATAAAATTCTTTATTAAACAATTAACTACAACATTTATAAATCTAAATTTAAAATATGAAAATTGTATCTAAACACAACATAAACTCCTAACTAATTGAAATAATACGTTTGGAACAAAATAAAACTAATTGGTAAATTTGAAGACGCAAACTTATTTCATTTTCTTTTCATTTGATCCACTTGGCAGCGCGCATCACCATTCCACACCGTTCCAATCGACCCAAACTAACTTGTAAAAATTGTAAGAGTGAATATTCGAAAACACCCAATAAGATATGTACAGTTTCCATACATAATTATATAACAATAAAATCTACATTTCATACCACTCTACTATTATGGAGTATAGCGGTGACCAAGCGACACACCCATCTTAGTTCCTCTTATATCCCGTAGGATTCCATCTCTCTTTTTAAAGAACTCGAAGGTCTACTAGCAATCCATGCATATTTAATTGCATATAAGTGCATAAGGAAATGAAAACACTTTGCACATAAAGTATCTTACCTTGTTATTGAAATATATACAAAAAAGTATTTGAATGCATGTTTCA